CACTGGTGGGGACAGCGGGAACAATGGTGGGGAGAGTGGGGACAGTGAGACACTGGTGGGGGCACTGGTGGGGACAGCGGGAACAATGGTGGGAGCAGTGGGACAGTGGGACAGTGGTGGGGACTGTGGGACAGTGGTGGGGACGGTGGTGGTGGGGACAGTGGTGTGGGGACGGTGGGAATGTGGTGGTGGGGACAGTGGGACAGTGGTGGTGACAGTGGTGGTGGGGACTGGTGAGGGCGGTGGCGAGGACGGTGTTGGGACAATGGGACAAAGTTACAGTGGGGACAGTGGTGGGGACAGTGGCGGGGACAGTGGGGACAGTTGTGGGAACAGTTGGACAGCTCAGTGGGACAGCGGCGGGGACAGTGGGACAGTGGGGACAGCGAGGACAGTGGGACCGTGGTGGGGACCGTGGGGAAAGTGGGGAGAGTGGGACCGTGGTGAGAAAAGTGGTGGGGACAGTGGGGAGAGTGGGACCGTGGTGGGGGCTCTGGTGGGAGTGGGGACAGTGGTGCTGGGGACAGTGGTGCTCGGGACAGTGGTGCTGGGGACCGTGGTGCTGGGGACAGCAGTGGGGGATGTGGTGCGGACGGTGGCGGGGACCCCGGAGTCATTTGCTGGCGGTGAGTGTGGTTGGTGGGGGGATGGGGGTTCGAACCGGGAGTGACCCTCCCCCGGTTTTTTGAGGGGTGGGGGGGAGTTCGAACCGGTAGGGACTTCCCCCGGTTTTCCGGAGAGGGGAGGGGGAAGGGTTAGGGGGGGGGTTGCCGGGGCAAGTGGGGGAGTTCCAGCAGCGTGGAGGGGATTTTCGAAGGGGGGGGGGACCTCCGGGTTCCGGAGGAAGGGGGGGGGAAATTCCACAGTGAAGCGGCGGTGGATCACGCTCTCTCTGATGATGCGATGACGACGACGACGTCGACGACGATGACGACGAGGACGACGACGACGATGATGACGAGGACGACGAGGACGACGACGATGACGACGACGACGATGACGACGACGACGATGACGACGACGACGACGACGACGACGACGACGACGACGACGACCACGACCACGACCACGACCACGACCTCGACCACGACCACGACGACTGTCGCGAGCCATGTTCGCATCTCTTGGGAGGCGTATTCAGTCGTCCAGGGGTCGTCTTGGAGCCCTCGTGGGCTGTCTTGGGGCCGCCTGGAGCGTTTCTTGCGCCATCTTGTGGCGATATGCGGGGCCTCCTTGGGACGTCTTGGAGCGTGTGAGGCCTTGTGGTGGCCGTCTTGGATGCCTTTTCAGGCTCTCTTGGGATAGTTCTGGGACCGCCTTGCGGCGTCCTTGGGCCGTTGTGAGGCCTTCTTGGACCGTCGTTGAGCTCTCTTAAGGGGGACTTGAGGCATTTTGGAACGAGCTGGGGGGGCTCTTTGGCCCTCTTGGAGCGGGAGTAGCTCGCAAGGCGCGAATTCGGAACAAACGTTGAAACGAAATTGAAGAATGTTGAGATATTGATGTTTTTTACCCCTTGGGCTTGTGTTGAGGGTACTCTTGGGGTTGATGGGGTCTTGGGTAGCTCTGAGGCCTCCTTTGGGGATCTCGGGCGCCTCTTGGGTGCCGGTCGGTGTCCCCCCTCTTGCGGCTTCTTGGATATTTCTTGAGCCGTCTTGGTCGGAGAGGGGGGGGGAATCACGACCCGCCCTTCCAAGACCCCCTCCCCGGGGACCCCTCTTGGCGACCCCTCCCCAGGACCCCCCCACCGCCCCCCCTCCCACCCGGCAAGGAAGGTTTCCCTCCACCTCCTCTTCATGCTCCTCCTCCTCATCCTCCTCCTCCTCGTCCTCCTCCTCCCTCCCTCCTCCTCCTCCTCTCCTCCTCCTCCTCCTCTCCTCCTCCTCCTCCTCCTCCTCCTCCTCCTCCTGTTCTTCCTCACAAGCCAATCCTGCGTCGATTTCCGCACACCCCTCACATGAACCGTGCCCCCCAAGGGAGCTTCACCTATGGCCCTGTGGGGGTGTTCGCATTGCGTCCTCGCGCCCACTTCGGTACACTCCTGACGCGGAAAGTGTCCCATAGGGACCCCCACTTACGGCTCAAGAGGGGGTGTCCGCATGGCGTCCCCGCGCACGTTTCGGTTCGTCTCGCGAATCGTGTGCCACACGTTTGTTGCCCCCGCGGAGGGCTCCATGATCATGTTTTTACCCTCTTGATCATAGCGCTCGTGATGCCCCCCTCTCCCCCTCCCCCCCTCCCCCCCCCCATAACGTAACGCTCCCCCCCAGTGCGTTCCTGGCACTGCCGCAGTGCGTCCAGCACCACAGTCTGTGGTGCCAGAAACACGGCGGAGGGGGGCGTTACGTTGTGCCCCCCCCTTCCCGCCCGCCCCTTTCCCCTCCCCATGACGCCCGTTACCGCCGCGAAATAAGAAATGCTCTCCATCTCTGGTTCCCGTGTAGGTGCTCGCATGGCGTCCCCGCGCCCGTTTCCGCACACCCCATACGCGGGTCCTGTTCCATCGTTTGTGGACGATTGACGTGCACCGTATCGCGTCGGCGTCTCCTGAGGCGTTGTCGGTCCTCGACCCAGGAAGGGCTCGAAACATAGAGAGGCCGATCTACTGCCCCAATGGGGGTGTCCACATGGCGCCCCCGTGGCCAAGTTCGACACATGCCCCTCGCGGATCGTGCATTGTTCGCATTGCGCCCCCGCGCCTAATTTGAGGCATCCGTCATGCGGATCGTTCCCCTTGCGGAGCTCCACAGGGCTCCCCCGCGCCCATGTCGGCACTCCCATCACGCGGATCGTGCCCCCCTGGAGAGCTGCAACCATGGCCCCAGCTGAGATGCTCGTATGGCGTCGCTGCGCGCATCTCGACACATCCCCCGCGCGGATCGTAGCCCACAAAAAGCTCTTTTTGTGGTCACCTGAGAGTCGGGCCCTTGCGGCACACCCCTCACACGAGTCGTGCCCCCAGTGGCAGTTCCACCCTTCAGACCCAGCGTATGCGCACGTATGCCGCGCCCCGCCCCGCCCCCAATAGTCACACCTCTTCACTCTGATCGGGCCCCACAGGGAGCTCCGCCTACGCCACCGGTGATGGCGATCGTGTGGCGCCCCCCCCGCCCATTTCGGCACACGCCTCACACGTTTCGTGCCCCACGGGGAGCTCCACTTGCAGCCCCTCTGGGGCGACCGCACGGCGCCCCCACTCCCATCTCGGGTCACCCCTCATATGTTTCGTGACCACCAGATGGGTCCACCTGCGGCACCAGCTGGGGCACCAGCGAGGGCGCCCGCACTGCGGTACACCCTTCACACGTGTCGCGCCCGAGTGCCCCCTTCCATTTCTGCACACCTCCCTTCGCGCCCGCATGCAGCTCCACCGGCGGCACCGGCGGGGGCGCCCGCACAGCGCCCCCCAGCCGTTGCGGGCACACCCCTCACGCGAATTTGCGCCCCGCCGGGAGCTCCGCCTGCCTCTGCGTGGTTGCTCCGCAGCCGCCTATGCAAGGAAGTCAGTGCTGCGCCCCGCGATACATGCAGGTCCATAAGGGTGGGTCCTTCGCCTGGGCATCTGTTACTTGTTCAACGCGGGGGGGTCTGGGCTGGGTGACCTTGGCAGCAGAGGGCCCATGTTATGGCAGGTTCGTATCGTGTCGCCGCGGCGGCGACCCGCGCGCGGGCGTTCAAAGCTGGACGCCGACGGTTGCCCAGAATCAGCCGACATCGAGAGATCCTTCGCTATCGGAAGGTTCGATCGCCCAATGCCGAGCAATCCAGTGATCACCGTTTTGACGTATTGCGATCTGCACGGGCCCCAGCGCCTCCCCTTCCCCCCCGTAGACCAGATCCTGGCTTCTTTTGGCGGATGCTTGTGGCGGCTGTCGGGAGCCCTTCCCAATTTGCTTACGCGACTGGCGAAAGCAGATCAACGAAGCACCGGCCCAAACCCAGACCCCCTCTCCTCCCCCACCCTTCGGCCACATGTCGAAGCCCAGAATACGGAAACGCCTACGTGTAATCAGAGACCTGCGCTGCAATCGTCGCGGCGCGGACTTGCCGCAGTTTGGGAAGCCTGCGAGCTTGGCGCTTCAGAACACACCCGCGCCACCACACATACAGCTCGTCACCTCGAAGGAGCACTCACTAAGTATGGCAGCGGAAAAAGTTGGCGGGGCTTAAACCCGATGATGAAGCCGCAAACTCGCCATCCCCATGACCAGATCATGTGTGGACACGGGTACCGGCGACATCCAAAAAGGCTCCTCTGTCTGCATTCAGGCCAATCGGTGCAACGACGATTAGAGAAGATTTCACAGGACAGGGCGAGAAAGGGGCCCAAACCCTTTCAAAACAAGAAGAGCCAGGGCTTCTCCTGGACTCGTCACGCGGCCAGTTTTGCGAGCTGCGTCCAGCCCGGGCGACAAGGGAACCTCCAGGAGCGCCCCACAGGGAGCCTCTCCGAAGATCCCACTTGCAGGGTCCAGACGCGTCTCCAACACCCGCGCGAGCTCCGAAGCCCCTGCGTTTCGTGGCCCATGCGAGCTCCGAGGCCCCCAGGGACAGGGTCCGTATGCGTTCCCCCGCCCAGGACGACGTTTCGCGGCCCGTCGGGGGCCCGACCGAAGGCCCCCGGTGGCAGGGTCCGCGTGCGTCTGCGCCAGGACTTGGGCCGCTGCAGGTGCCTTTCTTCGGGGCGGCGGCGCGAGGCGCGAAGTTAGCTGATCTAGCCTCCTCCCCCTCCTCCTCCTCCTCCTCCTCCTCCTCCTCCTCCTCCTCCTCCTCCTCCTCCTCCTCCTCCTCCTCCTCCTCCTCCTCCTCCTCCTCCCTCCTCTCCTCCTCTCCTCCTCCTCCTCCTCCTCCTCCTCCTCCTCCTCCTCCCTCTCCTCCTCCTCCTCCTCCTCCTCCTCCTCCTCCTCCTCCTCCTCCTCGTCCTTCCACAGGAGAGGGGCCGCGCGCGCCCACTTCTGCTCCCGCGGCCAGCTCTCCCGCCTTTCCCTGCCCCCCAGCACGTGATGCTGCACCTGTCGCCGCCGCCTCGCAGGGCCGTCCCGCGGGGCGAGCTGGCCCGGTGTGCAGTGTCCAGAGTTAGGTCGTGCTTGTCTTTGTACAATCTTTGATTGTTTCTTCATGATTATTTCTGAACATATATATATATGTATATGTATGTATATATATATATATATATATATATGTGTGTGTGTGTCGAATGTCTTTTATTTTTCGCCCAACATACGCCTGTAGGGGGACATGCCCGACCTAAGGAGACCATTGTTTTATTTCTGGGGGCATTGCATGTTACCCAGGGGGGGTGGGCGGCGTGGGGGGGGGGGGGGATAACCGTGACTGGGGCAGCGGCGCGCACCTCCTGAGGCGCGCCGCCTCCGTCGTCGTCGTCGTCGTCGTCGTCGTCGTCGCCGTCGTTGTCGTCGTCTTCGTCGTCGTCGTCGTCGCCGCCCAAGCCAACAGCGCCTGTGCCCACAGCACGGGCTCTACAGTGCCTTTGTGCACCAGGGCTGCAACAGAAATCGTATGGGTGTGCACCACGGCGACTGCGTATACCATAACAACCGCGTGCACCACGACGCCTTTGTACATCGCGCGATCTGCGCACGCCAAGGCGCCTGCGTGCATCACAGCCGCTGTTTCAGCACCTCCTGTGCACCACAGCGCCTGCGCACACCGCAAAGTTTGTGTACGCCTGAAGGCAATACCGACGGGGCCAAGCTCCGGAAAATCGTCGGGGGCCCGAACGTATCAAAGTCAGTATGTATACGTATAACGGCGCACCGGGCTCTGGGGCCGAGGGCCGGAGCCTCGACCGCAAATGTGGGGACTGGGGCCCGGGCCCGCCTCTGAAATCGGCCTGGGGGCCCTGAGACAGCAATCCTTGCGGCCCCAGGCGGTCTCGAGACACCCCCAAGACGCCGTCCAGGCGTCCAGGGGTCTCCGGCGACGCACGATGCGTTTTGAACTGCCCCAGAGGCCCCCAAGACGCCCCAAGAGGCCTTGAAGATGCCGCCCAAGAGCGCCCCGAGAGGGCAAAATCGTTGATTATCAGGGGTTTGTTTGGATGTCTGTTGCATTCTCGCTGTTTCGTGTTTCTGGCGCTAGAGCACCGCCCAAGAGTTTCCCAAGACTGCTCCAAGACGACCCAGGAGGCCCCCAAGAGGGCCCCAAGACGGCCCAAGAGAGCCCCGAGACGGCCCCAGAGCCGCCCAAGACGGCGCAAGAGGGTCCCCAAGAGGGGCCCAAGAAGGCCCCAAGAGGGGCCCAACCAAGAGAGGGAACGCGAACTGAAAAGTCAAGCTTTCCGCCCCAAGATGCCCCCAAGAGGCCCCAAGGTGCCCCCAGGAAGCCCCCAAGAGGCCCCAAGCGGCCCCCAAGAGGCCCCCAGCGGCCCCCAAGAAGCCCAAGAGAGGCTCCAAGAGGCCCCAAGACGGCACCCAAAAGGCTTCAATTATCCCGGCAAAGCAACCTAACATCGATGTGTAGGAGCATATCTGGAAGCATTCCCCTTAAGATTCGGATGAGAATCCAGTTGTAGAATTCTGCTGTTCTCGCAGTCGTAGTCGCATTCGCGATGACAGTCGCAGTGGCAACGGCAGTCGCAGTCACAGCCTCAGCCTCAGCCTGCCTCAGCCTCAGCCTCAGCCTGCCTCAGCCTCAGCCTGCCTCAGCCTCAGCCTCAGCCTGCTTCAGCCTCAGCCTCAGTCTGCCTTCAGCCTCGGCCTCAGCCTCAGCCTGCCTCAGCCTCAGCCTGCATCAGCCTCAGCCTCAGCCTCAGCCTGCCTCAGCATCAGCCTGCCTCAGCCTCAGCCTCAGCCTGCCTCAGCCTCAGCCTCAGCCTGCTTCAGCCTCAGCCTCAGTCTGCCTTCAGCCTCGGCCTCAGCCTCAGCCTGCCTCAGCCTCAGCCTGCTCAGCCTCAGCCTCAGCCTGCCTCAGCATCAGCCTGCCTCAGCCTCAGCCTCAGCCTGCCTCAGCCTCAGCCTCAGCCTGCTTCAGCCTCAGCCTCAGTCTGCCTTCAGCCTCAGCCTCAGCCTCAGCCCTCAGCCTCAGCCTCAGCCTCAGCCTGCCTCAGCTCAGCCTGCCTCAGCCTCAGCCTCAGCCTGCCTCAGCCTCAGCCTCAGCCTGCTTCAGCCTCAGCCTCAGTCTGCCTTCAGCCTCGGCCTCAGCCTCAGCCTGCCTCAGCCTCAGCCTGCATCAGCCTCAGCCTCAGCCTCAGCCTGCCTCAGCATCAGCCTGCCTCAGCCTCAGCCTCAGCCTGCCTCAGCCTCAGCCTCAGCCTGCTTCAGCCTCAGCCTCAGTCTGCCTTCAGCCTCGGCCTCAGCCTCAGCCTGCCTCAGCCTCAGCCTGCATCAGCCTCAGCCTCAGCCTCAGCCTCAGCCTCAGCATCAGCCTGCCTCAGCCTCAGCCTCAGCCTGCCTCAGCCTCAGCCTCAGCCTGCTTCAGCCTCAGCCTCAGTCTGCCTTCAGCCTCGGCCTCCGCCTCAGCCTGCCTCAGCCTCAGCCTGCATCAGCCTCAGCCTCAGCCTCAGCCTGCCTCAGCATCAGCCTGCCTCAGCCTCAGCCTCAGCCTCAGCCTCAGCCTCAGCCTCAGCCTGCTTCAGCCAGCCTCAGTCTGCCTTCAGCCTCGGCCTCAGCCTCAGCCTGCCTCAGCCTCAGCCTGCAGCCTCAGCCTCAGCCTCAGCCTGCCTCAGCATCAGCCTGCTCAGCCTCAGCCTCAGCCTGCCTCAGCCTCAGCCTCAGCCTGCTTCAGCCTCAGCCTCAGTCTGCCTTCAGCCTCGGCCTCAGCCTCAGCCTGCCTCAGCCTCAGCCTGCATCAGCCTCAGCCTCAGCCTCAGCCTGCCTCAGCATCAGCCTGCCTCAGCCTCAGCCTCAGCCTGCCTCAGCCTCAGCCTCAGCCTCAGCCTCAGCCTGCTTCAGCCAAAGCCTCAGTCTGCCTTGAGCCTTGGCCTCAGCCTCAGCCTCAGCCTGCCTCAGCCTCAGCCTGCATCAGCCTCAGCCTCAGCCTCAGCCTGCCTCAGCATCAGCCTGCCTCAGCCTCAGCCTCAGCCTGCCTCAGCCTCAGCCTCAGCCTGCTTCAGCCTCAGCCTCAGTCTGCCTTCAGCCTCGGCCTCAGCCTCAGCCTGCCTCAGCCTCAGCCTGCCTCAGCCTCAGCCTCAGCCTGCCTCAGCATTCAAAATGTGGCCCGGGAATGGAATTCTGGGAACTCGAAGAACACGAAGTGGCCTACAGTTGGCTCCGGGCATTCAAAATCATGCCCAGGAATGGAATTCTGGGAACTCGAAGATCACGAAGTGGCCTACAGTTGGCTCGGGGCATTCAAAATGTGGCCCGGGAATGGAGTTCTGGGAACTCGAAGAGCACGAAGTGGCCTACAGTTGGCTCCGGGCATCCAAAATGTGGCCCGGGAATGGAGTTCTGGGAAGTCGAAGAGCACGAAGTGGCCTACAGTTGGCTCCGGGCATCCAAAATGTGGCCCGGGAATGGAGTTCTGGGAAGTCGAAGAGCACGAAGTGGCGTACAGTTGGCTCCGGGCATTCAGAATGTGGCCCGGGAATGGAGTTCTGGGAAATCGAAAAGCACGAAGTGTGTGACTGTATGCGAAAAACGATCCCCCCCGGCAAACCCCAACGGCCCCCCAACGGCTGCCCAGACCCCCCTGTGGAGTAATGTGCTGCTCTCTTTTTAGCCCATTAGAAACCTATCAGTCTTCGATGTTAGGTAAAATTGTTTCTAAGAGGCCCCCGAACACATGCCAAGAAGGTCTCATGAGGACTTCAAGAAACAGTCCAGGATGCTCTGAGGAGGCCCCAAGAAGCTAGCTAGAACTTGAGCGCGCGCGAAGCGCGCGCGATAGTTCTAGTATCTTATTTGTTATTATTGATTTGTCTGGCCCGGGGTGCGGTCCCCCCGTTTTTGGCCGACCATGTTTGTGTACACCACAGCGCTTGTCTAGCGTGCGCCACGGCGCCTGTCTAGCGTGCGCCACGGCGCCTTTGCACACCACAGCTGCTTGTGTACACCGCAGCGCCTGTCTGCACAACAATGCTTGTGTACACCACAATGCTTGTGTAGACGACGCCCGTGTGCACCACAGCGCCTGTGTACACTGTGGTGCTTGTGCGCACCACAGGAGCCGCGTGCACCACAGCGCATGGCAAACATTTGCGCCACAGCGCTTCCGTGCACCTCCAAGGTCCCGCCGGGCCTTAATTAGGAAAATCGCAGGGAGCCCGAACATATCAAGTTCAATATGTAGTTTTGTTTGTGATTCTTGATTTTTCTGGCCCGACCGCAGTGCCTGTCTACACGACATTGCTTGTGTACACTACAATGCCTCTGTACACCACAACGCCCGTGTGCATCGCAGCGCCTGTATACATACACCACACACGCACACTGCCTGTGAACACGACGACGCCTATGTCACCACGGTTTCTGCTTCAGCACCACACTCGTGCACCACAGCTCCGGTGCACCAAACTGCGTGTGTACGCCACAGAACTGCGTACACTTCCAGGGCCCCCGGCAGGACCGAACTCCAGAACATCGTGGGGAATCCGAACGTATCAAATCCAATGTGTAAGCTAGTTGTGATTGTTGATTTTTGTTGCGCAGGGAACGGTCCCATCTTTTGGGCCCACAACGCCTGTGTACACCATAGCGAACGTGTGCACAGCAGCGGATGTGTACAACGGCCTCGCCTGTGTACAACGGCCTCGCTTGTCGGGGTGGTTACCATGGGGGTGGATACGATCCCCTCTAGATAAGACCAACCAGCCCACGAGACCGTGCGGTTTCGCCATCGTGAGCCTGGTTATCTCAGGAGGGGAAAAAACACACAGACACAATTAATCCTCGATTCCCCCCAAAATATGGGAAAATATGGGAAGTGGGGGGGAAGACAAAAACCCAGAAAATGTGGGAAAATATGGGGAATCTTTTTATTTGTGTGTATTTATTTGTGTGTTCCAGTTCCCCTTCATTATCGCCGACCCGTCGTCGATGCCTCGCCGATGTGAGAAGCTCGAAGCTTCTCCCCCCGAGCCGGTCCCCCCTGGTGGCTTTCGGGTCCCAGCTCGGGCCTCCGGCGTCCGCGCGGGACGAGCCAGGCGGCCCTGGACGCCCCTCGGGGAGGCACAGCCGCTGCGAAGCATGCCGAGGCTTATGGTGTTCCGACCTACACTCCAGGCGATGCTTAAGAAAACCCAAGTTTTCGGCCAGAGTCTCGATTTTTCTTAACATGTCAATATAAAACTTAAGATGTCAATGGAAATGTTGGGTTTTTATTCAAGTTCTGAGACTATGAATTTCTTAACCCATGATTTCTTAAGCATTTCGCAGGGTGTACTTCAGCTGTGGTCACCAGAAAGAATGCAGAGCACCAGAAAAGTACCGAAGCTCGAGGGTTTTCAAGCGTCGGGCCCTGGGAGACACTCGTCCGACACCGTCTTGACATCTGCCCAGGTGCTCGGAGGTTATTGCTTGGATGCAAGGGCTCCCCCGAGGGCGCGAAGTTATTCGCGCTTCGCGCTTCGCGGTCCTCGTTTCTCCTCCCCCTCCTCCTCGTCCTCCTTTTCTCTCTTTGGGGGGGCGGCGCGAGGGCGCGAAGTTATTCGCGCTTCGCGCTTCGCGGAGCGCGAAGCGCGAAGTTGGGAGCCCTTGTGGATGTGGTCCTTGAGTGCCATGGGAGCAGCAGAAGCCGAGGCTGGAGAGCCGCCGGGATGCCACGAGGAGTAGGTTCTCGCGTCGTGTCGACCGGCGGCGACCCTTCCGACGGCGCTCCAAGTTGCACTCCGCCGGAGACCCAGCATCGGCCCGTCGTTGAACGATCCATCGGAGGTGGCGCTGTTCTCTGCCCCTCCTTCCTCATTCCTCCCCTTTCTCCTCCCGTTGCCTTCGCTTGAACGCGCCGAGGTTTCTGGGGGGCTTCTCTGGGGCCTCTTTTGGGGGTCTCCCAGAGGTCACTGAGGCACTGAGTCGGGCAGGTCTGCCCACAAGTGATCGGGGCTGGACAGAACCCCCAACAGTGACACGTCGATTAGTGAATTGTCCGTTTTCGGTTCTCGAGAGGGCGCCGCGGCCGTTATTTTCCAGGCTTTGCGCCCGCCAGGTTTGGGCCTCAGGTCGTTTTCACTAAACCACGTTTTACTAAAGGGAGGTCTGCCCATCCCCGAATCCAGCGCATTGTAAACGGCCGATAGAGTAAGGTTGAACGATCCCCGCGGGGTCAGGAGCCAACGCCAGGGTCGACACGACACGAGCCTGCCGTATCTCGGGCCGGACGACGGGGGGGGATTGGGAAAGGGGGGATTACGAAATCTGCTGCATGCAGCTGGTCTCGGCCCCGCCGCCGGCGCCGGGGGCGCCAGGAAAATCAGCTACGCGAGCTGATTCTCACCCCCCCCTCTTGGCTATCCCCCTCTCCCGCCCGGCCCGAGTAATTATCGAAGGCCAGGTCGAGACTTCGAGAGCCTGCCCCCCCCCCCCCCCCGAGCTGGCCCCCCCCGATCGCCGCGCCACGAGGGCCGGCCGCCAAGACCGCGCCGCGCGCCCGCCGCGGGGCGCGCCCTGTTGCGCCCGCCCGCCGAGCTCGCCGCCGAGCTCGCCGCCGGGCGGGGCCCGCAGACGCCGAGCCCCGCCCCCGGCCTTGCGAGAGGTGGAGGAAGAGGAGGAGGAGGGGAAGGAGGAGGAAGAGGAGGAGGAGGAGGAGGAGGAGGAGGAGGAGGAGGAGGAGGAGGAGGAGGAGGGGGGGGTGGAGCGAGAGCCCCCTGGCCTTCCTGGGGCCTTGCCCCGCGCGTGCCACGGGCCGGCGGCGAGGAGCCCGGCCTACGCTCGCGCCTCGCAGCGCCTCGCGGCGCAGCGGGTCGTCGTCGTCGTTCCGTCGGCTCCGTCGCTCCGTCATCGTCGTCGTCGTCGTCGTCGCCGTCGGCACCCCACAGCCAGAGCTTCGCGGGAGCTCGGGCTTGCCGACGCTGTTTGACGGGCCCCCGTCCCAGAGATTTTGCCGCCTGTCTCGTTGTCTTCGATATCTGCAGCGGGAGATCATGCCAACCCGAGTCCCCCGACCGGAATGTTTTTTCATCAACCTTGGACGTTTCGCGTATCCCCAGTGGCCCCAGTGGCTGCGCTCGCATGGCGACACCGCCCCCATTTCGGCACACCCCTCACGAGGACCGTGGCCTCACAGGGAGCTCCACCGAAGGCCCCAGTGGCTGCGTTCGCACGGCGGTGCCGCCAGATTTCGGCACACCTCTAACGAGGATCGTTGCACCGAATCCTGTACCCACAGCGCGGTGTTCACAACTGCATGTGGTTCGGGCTCTCGCCAGGATACTTGCTGATTCCTCTGGCGCGTAACGGTCGTTGCCCTGGCCTCCCCCTTCCTGGGTAACAGTAAAACGGCCGTACGTAGGGGAGGGGGATTAGGTTTGGGACGAGCGACTTGAGAAGAGAAAGAATGCGTACGAAGACGGACAGGTTCTCTGGCCTTTTGGACAGGACCCGCTGTCGGTATCGCCGTGGACGCTCTCTATCCGAGACAGAAGGTCGCCCCCCAAACAGCAGCTGTTGTCGGTTTGGGACAATATTTGTTGTTGGACATCGTGTAATTGTTACCCGTGCCCGTTGCGGGCGTCCGAATCGATCCCCCCACCCACCCCACATGCTTGTGCTCGCGCGCGCAGTACAGCCATCGCAGCGCACCCTCGCTCCGACGTGTCCCATCTCGCCCCAGCGTCACTGTTGCCCAGGGCTCTAACCCCAACCCCTGGGTAATAATCGCAACCAACATGGTAACAGACGAGGAGCTCGGATTTCCCCCTCGCTGCGATCGAGATGGGTACACAAAGGATTGGGATGGCGACGGGCAGCAGTTCCTGCCCTTTCTGAACAGGATCCGCTGTCGGTGCCGTGACGGACGTCGTCCACTCGGGACGAGCGCACGTCGCCTGCCCGCCGGCGGCCGCTGCCGCTTTTTCGACAGCACCTGCTGGTGGGCACAGTCTTCCTTGGGGTCCGTAACCGATTTTGGGCGTGCCATCCAGTTCGCATCGGCGGGCGATTGGGATGCTTCGGAGGAGGGGAAGGAGGGACGAGCGAGCAGTAGAGGTCGGGCAGGAACTCACGGAAGCAGTTGGTCGTCCCCAGTGCGCCCAACAGCGCGTGCAACGGCGCGTCTGATAGCGCCCAAAATCGCGCAAAGCGGGCGCGATGCATGAGGCAATTTCTTTATTGCTTGGGGCATGACGGGTGTCATGGCCCCCGCTCCCCCCCCCCTATGACGTAACGCTCCCCCCCCCAGCGCGCTCCTGGCACTGCCGCCGTGCGCATTGGGATCCGCGTAGGTGTCCGCGTAGGAATCCGCAAAGGTGTCTGGTCCGCAGGCGTCGTCGTCGTCGTCGTCGTCGTCGTCGTCGTCGTCGTCGTCGTTCGTCGTCGTCGCTCGTGGTTCGTCGCTCGTCGCTCATCGTCGTCGTGCGCGCGGACGCGGCTGGAGCCTGTTTTTAAGTCTGGGCCGATGACGGCAATCATCTGGGGGGGGAGGGGGTCGATGACGTCACGTTTCGCGCCGGCGGCGTTTCGGAATGTTTAGGAATGACGGAGGACGGGTAGCACGAACATGTAGGTGGCGATATGCACCACAACGCCTGTGTACATCACAGTGCCCGCGTGCACCACAGCGCCCGTCTACACCACGCCGCCGGCGTACACCACAGGAGCCGCGTGCAACACAGCGTCAGTTTGTGCCACCGTGCTTGCGGGCACACCAGCTCCTGTGTACACCACAGCGCCTCCGTACACCACATCAGCCGTGCGCAACACAGCACCAGTGTACACCACAATGCCTGCGTGCGTTGCAGTGCCTGTGTACGCCACGGCGCCTGTGTGCACCACATCAGCCGTGTGCAACACAGCACCATTGTTGCGTATAGAATTTCAGAAGGAATCCTTCTGACAAAATGGAGCGCGTGTGGATTCCAGAGAAAATGGAAAACAAATCCCCATGGACAAAGGAGCGCCGCTGGAATCTACGAGTCTCCCCGAGTCCGCCCGCATCACCCTAACTCCCACTTGCGTCCAGGAGGCTCCAGCTAAACTGGCCGTCCGAGAACCAAGTGGACCGATTAAATCGACCATTGTGCGGTGCACGCTGAGATGCGCACGTGCGTTGCAAAGCCAAGTCGCACGACAGGGGGTAAGAAGGAGGAAAAGGAGGACGATGAGGAGGAGAAGGAGGAGGAGGAGGAGGAGGAGGAGGAGGTGGAAGAGGAGGGAGGAGAGAAAAACGTCGCATTCGATTATCAAAACATTCCTGGCGTGGCGTTTAGTTGTCCGCACCAGATCCTGACGTATATGTTCCTTCTACCTGTCCTATGCACGCAGGCACTGTGGTGTACACCAGCGCTGCGTTGCACGCAGATGCTGTGGTGTAGACAGGCGCTGTGGCGTGCACAGGCGCTGCGGTGCACGCAAGCACTGTGGTGTACACAGGCGTTGTGTTGCACATGGTTGTTGCGGTGTATGTACACCGGCGCTGTAGTGTTCCCAAGTATTGTGGTATACACGGGCGGTGCGTTGCACACGGCTGTTGCGGTGTACGCAGGCGCTGTGGTGCACGCGCGCGGTGTGGTGCACGCGAGCGTTGTGGTGCACACAGGCGCAATGGACAAATCGCCACTTACATGCTGCTCACGTCGTCGTCGTCGCTCGTCGCTCGTCGCGTCGTGCGCGCGGGCGCGGCTGCCACACGGCGGGGGGGGGGGCGTCACGTCATACCCCCCCGCCCTCCCCCCCCCTGACGCCCGTCATCGCCGAACATAAAGAAACGCCTTCCATCTCCCTCGGGTGGCGCTCTCGCGCGGTCGTTCGGGACGCTGCTGGGCGCTAGTGGGGCCCACTACTGCGCGACATCTGGCGTTCTTGGGCTCCACACTGCCAACGCTGGACGAGTGGAGGCTTCCGTGATTGATTATCCAAGTGGAGTGTACGCATGTTTCCAGCTTGGAACATGTCCCCACCCTACGACTGGACTGGCATTGCCGCGTCTCGATGCCGATCGCAGGGGTCCCTCAGATTTGGAGGGTGCATCCCTAAGATCGGCATCGTCTCGTGGCTGATCAATCTTTGGGCTAGGGCCAGGGATAATCGGGGAAGCGTAAGACTCGAGTTCGCCAGAGTTCTAGTTTGCCGACGCTTTTTGACGAGCCCGTCCCGGATGGTGTCCACATGTCGTGGGATGCTTGCGGCGGGAGCTCGCGCCAAATTGTTCAGACTCGGTCTGGGCATTTGTCCTGGCGGCCCCGTCGGGCCAACCCCTGGAGGAGGAGGAGTAGGAGGAGGAGGAGGAGGAGGAGGAGGAGGAGGAGGAAGAGGAGGAGCGAGGCAGGAGGGAGGAGAGAGAAGGAAGGGAGGGAGGGGGGGGAGGGAGGAGGGAGGGAGGGAGGGAGGGAGGGCCCCGAGCCCGAGTCACACGTCTCCCCGAGACCAGCTCGAGGTCGGCTCGAGGTGCGAGGCTCTGCTCTGGGCGGCGGCTCGAGCGCGCGCCCCGCGCGCCGTTCCCCCTTCGTGCGCACAACGGCGCGCGGGGCGGCGCCCTGCTCGGCCTGCGACCACCGCGCGCCCTCGTTGCCGAACCTGCGCGTGCAGTGTCCGAGAAAAGAGGCAGGCTGCAGAGGGTGATGGGCTTGTTTTCCACCACCACCATCAGTTGGAGTGGAGAAGGAGGAGGGGGAGGAGGAGGAGGAGGAGGAGGACGAGGAGGAGGAGGAGGAGGAGGAGGAGGAGTTGGTGGAGGAGGAGGAGGAGGAGGAGGAGGAGGAGGAGGAGTTGGTGGAGGAGGACTCCCTCCTCCTTCAACTTATGGTTGTGGTGGTGGTGGAAAACAGGCCCATCAGAGACGTTGTTGGTAGCCACTTGCGAACCTTACCTTACCCCCGCCCCCGACGATTTCTGAGGGTGGGGTGGGGGTTCACTTCGTTCGGGAGCTCCCGAGCAGAGTGAACCCCCACCCTCCCTTCGCAATCGTGGGGGGCGGGGGTAGGGTTCACATGTGGCCACCTGGGTGGGGTTTTGATTGGGAAGGCCTGGCGGCCGGTGCCGCCGACCCTGAAGGGGGACGGCGACGACGACGGCGGAGGCGGCGGCGGCGGCAGCGGCGACGACGACGCTGACGCTCTGGAGGCTTTCTTGGGACTCTCTTGGGAGCAGCTTTGGATCTGTTGGGGCTTGGGCTGGGGCCGCGAAGAGGCAGGCTGCAGAGCGGGTGGGGTTTTGATTCGGGGGCCGGTGTGTGGCTACCACCGCCCCCGCGCGCGCGTTCTGTGCCGGACCAGCTCTGCTTGCGGGGATGGTGTGCAAAAGTCGTGCCCCCAAAAGGCTGGGGGAAACGTGCGACTCGAGCAAGCCAGAATTCGGATTTGCCGACGTTGTTGGGCGAGTGCGTCCTTGATTTTGACGGTCCAGTTGTCGTGGGATGTTTGCAGCGGGCTCTCGCGCCCAATTTCAGATTTTGGTTTCGTCATTTTCATGATGGCCTTGTCAGGCCAACCCGAGTCCCCCAAACCCGAGTCTTACGTCTCCCCGAACGGGATGCCATTTTTGTACACAGCCCCCGCTCCACGGTTTGGTGCTGGACCAGCTTGTTCGTGGGGGTGGTGTGCAACAATCGTGCCCCTATTCATGGTGCCTGGCACAGAACACGTGCCCGAAATTGTGGCCGAAGTACCAGTGCCACCGAAATTGGAAATCGCGTTGGATTCGAACCAAAAATTCTTGTCACGCTTTGGCGCGTTCGGGAAAATCTGCGGTCCTCGCGGGGGGGCTCGCGGATTTGTCGGATCTGCGCTGGAAGCCCCTGGCGGCGCTTCCGGCGCCACCCCTGGCGCGTTCCACGCGCCAGGAAGACATCCTGGCGGACCTCCGAAAGTGAATGTCTATCGAAGACGCCTACGGCGAATCACCGCCGCCCCCTGTGTTTTGGAAACGCCTATGGCGCCGAGAGTTGTGGCAATAGCTCTGCCAAGCTATCAGAACATATGTTCCCCCAGCCGTTGTGGAAACCCTTCTGTGAACACTTGAGAGAGGATGGCGGGGAAGATCAGGAGGAGGAGGACGAGGAGGACCTGTGTAAACCTAAGAGGCATCAACGATGTTGGAATAAACCCTTCCTCCGAGCTCCCTCTTCACAGGCCCCTACAACGGTTCATGTTTACTGAGGGAACTGCCTCGTTGGAAGACAACTGGTTAAAGATCCTGAAGCATGCAAAATCATGTTTCTCGGGATTCCAACGCCACAGATCAACCTGACTGTTGCGTCTGGACGATCCTGGATCGCGCCAGAACGCCATTCCTGGGACTTAACATCGCAAATCAACAGAATTTGTGCACCCCCATAGCCTGAATCCTTCCAAACACTTTTTCTAGTACGTTGATCATGACGAGTGTGCGCGGCGCTAAGGCGAGATCCACATTTTGAAAACGACTCGCCCTCGATCCATGAAACTCCATGCAATTTGTTAGGACGAGTGTGCGCGGCGCTAAGGTGATAGCCACATTTTGAAAACGACTCGCCCTCGATCAGTGAAACTCGTGCAATTGTTTACGAGTGTGCGCGGCGCTAAGGCGAGAGCCACATTTTGAAAACGACTCGCCCTCAATCCGTGAAACTTCAGAGTCATACATGGTGAAGAAGTCTCTGGCGAAACGCCCGGCCCGCCCTAGAAACTGGCCTCGGTGTGCGACAGAGATAAGTGGGAATGGAGGAGGAGGAGGAGGGGGAGGAGGAGGAGGTGGAGGTGGAGGAGGAGGAGGAGGAGGAGGAGGAGGAGGAGGATGAGGAGGAGGAGGCACCACCAGACCGAAACGAGTGCGCAGAGCAGCAGCAGAGACAGAGAACGAGCAGGAAAATGGACGACCACGCGCAACTCGACGGGAACAGGAGGAGGAGGAGAAGGAGGAGGAGGAGGAGGAGGAGGAGGGGGAGGAGGAAGAGGAGGAGGAGGAGGAGGGGGAGGAGGAAGAGGAGGAGGAGGAGGAGGAGGAGGCATCTTGGGAGCTTTCTGGGGAGCCTCTTGGAGGCATCTTCGGGGCCTCCTTGGGCCCCTTGGGGGCTTTGGGGAGCTTCTCGGGGGCCTCTTTGGTCGCTTTAGGGCATTTCTGGCCCGTCTGACGCCGTCGGAAGCCGTCTTGGGGGTCTCTCTGGGCCGACTTGGTACCCTCTTGGGGTGCTCGGTGTTCGTTTGTGGCGAACCGGTTTTCCCAGCAGCGGCCGCTGTTGGACTTGGGCGCCGTCTCCATTATTGCGGCGAAGGCCTTACGGCCGGTGCCACCGACCCTGAAGGGAGACGACGACAACGGCAGCGGCGGTGTCGACGACGACGAAGACTTGGACCAGAGTCCTCAGGGATGTTTCTTGGGGTCTCTTCGGAAGGCTCTCGGGGGCCTCTGGGGAGCAATGTTGGGGTCTCCTGGGAGCCTCTTGAGGGTCTCTTGGGAACCTCTTGAGGGCCCCTTCGGGTTTCCTGTGGACTTCTTGTGGGCCTCTGAGGGCCTCTTGGGAACCTCTTGGGGCCTCCTGGAAGCCTCTCGGGGCCGAGTGCTCGAAATGTCCGTTCCGGTCCCCCGTCTGGGCACGCTTTTGGAACCGTCTTGGGGGGGCCCCTTGGGCCGCCTTGGAGTCGTTTCGGGCTGCTTTGGGGTCCTCTTTGGCTGGTTCGGGGCCCTCGAGCAGGCCTCTTGGGCCGACTTAGGGCAATCTTGGGGGGGCTCTTGCGCCGTCTTGGAGCGACGGAAATCAATGATTTCGGCTTCTTGGGGTCCTCTCGGGAGTGCTCATGGAGGCTTCTTGGGGCGTCCTGGAGGTTCCCTGGACAATCTGGCGTTTTGGACCGATCGGTTGGCGATTGGGGGCCATCTTGGACCGTCTCGGGTGCCATTTGGGGCATTCTTGGTCTGTCTTGGTACTTTCTGAGGCCCTGGGGCCCCCAGAGGGGGATGCGTATCTGACCCCCCCCTTCCCCTGAACACCACCCCCTAGCACTGCCCCCTATCAATGTACACCCCCCACCCGACCGGAGGCCAACCAGAAACCATGCCAACCGAAAAATCCAATAAAACCCACTCGGCCTCCACATTTGGAGAACGCGCGGCCAACCCGATGCGGACCTCCCCCCGCCATTCTTGAGAAAACAATGCAAAGTGCGCTTTGGGGCAAAGTCTTGAGTCATGTTCGAGAGGCCCGCGAGCATTCCGTATTGTTTTTGACAGCGACGGGGGGGGTCAGCATGTTCCTTGCTGCGCGCAGGGCTACCATCCCTGAACAAAAACGATACAAAATGCACCTCGCGGCTAGATCTGGATCATGCGCGGCCACCCCGCGATCACCGTCAAGTGGTTTCTGACAGGGACGGCGGGGGTGGTGGCGCGTGGCCTGCTGTACGCATGCCCACCAGGCACAATGATGGGCGTTTGGAAGTCGACAAGGATAATGTGGCGACATTTTTCCCGATGTGTGCTGTCGCGTGCGCACGCGTACCTGACGCACTCTGCACGTGCCCCGAAAATGGCGCACCTGGCGCGGCTGGAGTGTGCGGCGCATCTGGCGCACTCGGAGCACGTGGCGCAGTTGGCGCACCAGGCGTGCCTGGCACGCTCGGGCCCCAGAAATACCTGGCGCGCGTGGCGCCTCTGGCACGCGTGGCGCACCTCGCCCAAGCGTCGCGCACCTGGGGTCGGCTTTGGTTCCCAGTAGCTGCCCATCCAAAGACGACCGCTGAACATGCTCAGGCTCTGGTGTTATTTATGTGTTGGGAGGGCGGGTGGGAGTGAGCTAGACGGCTTGCGGGCGGGTGGGTAACCGGGCCCCCCCCCCCTCCCGACGGGGGAGTGATCAAAGGAACGGGGCTTTTGCGACATTGCTAGATTGTTCTCTCGCTGACATGCTTTACGAGGAGGGTGCGGGGAAAGGGGACGATGGAGACGACGATAGACGGAGACGACGACCCGAGCAGACAAACACCTCACGCATGCCGACAGGGTCGGCGGATTTCCGTCGCCGATCCGGGCGTCCAAATCCTTGAAGACGGAGGTGCTGCGCGTCTTTCTTCCGATGACGCCAACCACACTGCCACACCGATCTTGGCCAGGCTCACTCTTGGCCCAGGATTGGCCAGGAGGGCATGAACACCGATCCTGCACCCCCCTGGAAAAGTAATGCAACTTTTGAAGGTCGTGTCGGAGAGTAGCCTGGGGGACTTCTCTGGGGGTAGTTCTTCATCCCGGGTCCAGTTCTGGCAGTCCCGGAGTTCGAAAACTGCCCTCGGAGGCCAAAAACTACGAACAACCGAAGGCGGCGAACACATCCAAACTAATCCTCAACGTTGCTTCACTCTTGCCGGGACGGTGTGGGCCCTGCGGCCTGCCCAGGAACGGTGCACGCTTGTACCTGAAGCCCTCCGACCGCTCTCCCCTGCGCCCGGGCTCGCGAGCGGTCCCCCGCCGGCGCCTCGCGCGAATGCGCGCGGCGCCCGCGCGCGGTCACGATGCAGGCCCGCTCCGCGCCGGCCCGCGGTACTGACTGGCCGGGGTCGGCGACTGCAAAGGGCGTGTCGGGGCGATCGGCATGGGTACGGAAGGAATGGGCACGATGCCCGACAGCAGTTCCTGCCCATTTTGAAAGGGGGCCAGTGGCCTCTCTCATGCGTCCTGGGGCTCTCTCGGGGCGCTTCGGATCTTTCTCGGCAGCCCTGGAACTCCAGCCAAGAGTCCGACCAACTCCCCCTCTCCCCCCCCCCCGCCCCCCCGAAACCTCTGCCGGACTGCCCCCAAACTTGTCTCCCGAATCGCCACCCACCCCGCATTGTGCCGCGAATCGTTCACCCCAAATCACACCGCAGGCGATTTTAAATACCGATCTAAGATTTTCCAGGGGGCGCGCCGAGTTGCGATGGGATGCTCCAAAGGGCGACTCTCGGGGGTGGACAGAACCCCCAACAGTGACACGTCGATTAGTGAATTGTCCGTTTGCGGTTCTCGAGAGAGCGCCGTAGCCGATATCTTCCAGGCTTGCGCCCGCCAGGTTTGGGCCTCAGGTCGTTTTCACTAAACCACGTTTTACTAAAGGGGGGTCTGTCCGTCCCCGAAACTCGTGGGGGCGATTCGGGGCGCGATTCGGGGGGCAACTCGGTCGACAGGTCGGGGGGGGGCCATTCGGCGGACGTCTCGGCAGACGTGTCGGCGGAAGTTTCGGGGGGCAATCCGGCGGACGTTTCCTGGGGCGGTGCGCGGGGCGTTTGGTTTCAGGAGGGGAAAAAACACACAGACACAATTAATCGTCGACTCCCTAGAAAATATGGGAAAATATGGGAAGTGGGGGGGAAGACAAAAACCCAGAAAATATGGGAAAATATGGGGAATCTTTTTATTTGTGTGTATTTATTTGTGTGTCCCAGGGCCCCTTTAGTTTGGTGGGCGCGCCCAGGAATTTAATTAGGAAATTGCAGGTGAATTGGCGTTGTCCATGGCGGTTGGCCACGGAGCCCCCACTTACGCGCATCGTATGTGTTCGATGTTATGACCTTGAACGTTGTACTCGCGTTAGATATCCGACCTGTCGCCCGAACGCGCAAACGCATGGCATTGTTTGTTACATGTCGTTTAGACCACCAATACAATTCTGTGTTGTTCGATTTTTGCTCAGCGATCTGGTCCACGATTCGAACCTGGCGAGTCAAGCAGGGAAATCCTGAAGTGCCTTGCGGGGCCACGAAAAAGTTGAGGGTTGTCAAGAAATTGGCCTGCGGTCGGCGGGGGAGTCACAGGTGGCCGCGCCCATTGGGGCCTTCTGTGGAGCTCCCTCTGGGGCCACGAAGCGCGTGAGGGGTGCGCCGATATGGACATGCGGTGGGCGGAGAGCCGCATGTGGCCGCACCCACTGCGGTCCTCAGTTGAGCTCCCTATGCGGCCGCGAAGGGACGCCGCATTTGAAAAATCTGCACATTGGATGTCAAGGGATGGGTACTGTAGGTTCATACGGCGTTGGCGCGTTGGCGACGCCGGCGAAGGCGTTCAAGGTTGAATTCTGCGACGCGGAAGCACCGATGGACACGGTTCGCCATTGGAGCCGACTGAAATCATTTTTGAACGATCGAGGTTGCGATCGATTCAAGGTTGAATGATCGATGCGGTGTCAAAAACCTTTGCGCGCGCCGACGCCGCACGAACCTACGGTACGGAAGGAACGATTACGAATGCTGACGGCAGTCCCTGCCCGTTTTGATCAGGACTCGGAGCGGGTATCACCGCGGGCGTTGTGTCTTGGGAGGCATCGAGTCGCCTGCACCGCAGCGGCCGCTGTCGATTTGACACACCACTTTCCGCTGAGCATCTTGTCCATTTTTGCTCGTACCCATGTCGGGCGTGCCAAGTGTGGCCGACGTGAAAGAGGCCCCTGGACCTCCATCTTTCAGGAACACTCGACCCTGAGGGTTCAAGCCAATTCGATTTCGAGGGTCTTGATTTCGATTCGACTCCGCAATCCGACTTCGATTGAGTTCCTCGCGTACCCTCGGCTCGGACCAACGGTCGTGGATCTCGATGCGTGTTGATCAATATGCACAGTTCTGTAGATTCTGTGTGTTTCGGTGGCCGATCCGACTTATCCATTCGGTTTCGAATTGGCACGCCAGACCTGCACGTCGCAAGACATTGCCGCACGGCGAGGGACGAGGGTGGGAGGGAGACTCATTCTGGGTCCCGAAAAGTATGACGTCTCTGCCAAAAAATGGGTGTGGGATCGCAGCTGATTTCTGCCACTGCGGCCTTCGGTGAAGCTCCCCATTGGGCCACGAAACGTGTGAGGGGTGCGCCAAGAATTGCCGGTGGACGCATGCAATTCCTTCCAGTGGGGTGCACGACACGAGTGAGGGGGCGGCCAAAATGGAAATGGGGATGCATACGATTTCTGCCACTGGGGGCTGCAGAAGTGGGCCTGGGGACGCATGCGATTCCTGCCACTGGGGTCCACAAAACGTGTGCGGGGTGTGCCAACATGGACTTGGGGACGCACGGCGGTGCCTGCCACTGGGATCTTCCGTGGAGCTCCCCCTGGGCTTCGGCACATGCGAGGGGTGCGCCACGATGGGGGCGCAGGCGAGTCCTGCCGCCGAGGCCTGGGGCGAGGGGCGGGCGAGAGGGTAGAGTGTGGGGGGGGGGCCGGGAGCAACGTCAGGGGGGCAGAGGCTCAAGGGAGTGATGCATCGGCCCCCACCCCCCACACCCTGCGGAGCACCCGCTCCGCAGGGGAGGGAGCTGGGGGGCAGTAATTAGGTCGGGTTTCGGACCGTTTCGCGCGGTGTCCCCGAGGTTTTCGGGCGGTTTCGTGGTCCTCGTCGGCTTTCCAGCATTGGGGTGCCTTTCAGCAGCTGCGCCTCGCCGAGAGCTTTCTGGGGGTGCCCGGATCGTCCCGAACGGCCGGAGAACCGAGTTGTGACCCGAACACCAGCGGGGCAACGTCATGGGCTTGGTATCGCTCGGACGTGTGCACTTTGCCTCGGCGGGGGTTCTTCAGGGGCATCCTGGATCATCCTGCGAAAAATAACACGGACGCCCGAGCGATGGCCAGTGGTCGGCTAGACGTAAGAGTGACCTTTCGCCGGAGTGACCTTTGGTGCGGGCCCAAATGGGTCCCCCAATCGCCGAACGCGCTGCGATATAAGCGGCTTGCGCGCATCGGGTTTGGCTCCCCCGCCCCCCCCTAATGCCGCGCACCGAAGGTCACTCTTACCCAGGGTCACTCTTGCGTATAGCCGAGGTGGGGGGGGCCATGGGCTCCGGAGGGGACGCATCGGGCCCCCGTCGTCAGGGGCAGGCTGCGCTCTGCGGGGGCCTGCCGCCGATCCATCGGCGGCGTGCGGCCGGTTCCAGCTCGACGGTTCTCGGGCTGGGCGCCAGGGGGGGGGGACTTTGGGAGAGGGCGGTCGCGAAATTTGCTGCCTGCAGCTGGTTTCGGCCTCGCCGAAGGCGCCATTGCTCGATGCATGGCCGCCTCCGGCGCCGGGAGGCGCCGGGAGAGTCAGCTACGGGAGCTGATTCTGACCCCCCCCCCTTTGCTATCCCCCCCTTTCGCCCGACCCGAGGTCCCCCCCTTTGCTATCCCCTTTGCTCGATGGTTCCGCCCTGGCCGCCCTCCCTCACTTCTCAGGAGGAAGAAACACACAGACACAAATTGATCGTCGACTCCCAGGAAAAGATGGGAAAATATGGGAAGCGGAGTGGGAAAATATGAGGAATCCTGTCATTTGTGTGTATTGATTTGTGTGTCCCAGGGCCCCTTCAACTTTGCCCCTCAGGGAGGGGTGAGGCGGCTATCATTTCCTCTTCACCGCGGCTGGATTCATTGCGGAACTTTGTCAGAACGCACCTGGGGAGATGTCCAGGGAGTGGTGGCATCAGTATCTCTTTGCCCCTCGAAGGGGGAAGGAGAAGGGTGGAGGGGGGAAGAGGATCGAGAGCACGCCAGCATAGATGAAGCCGCGTGGGTTGGCGACGGGTCCTGTTTCCATGCGAAATCGGCGCGCGTTGTTGCCGAGTGAGGCGGCGTTGGCCTCGCGCGTCGGGTTTTTTCCCTCGATCCAGGGATATGGCGTCCAAACGCCAGATCCACGGATCACTAGTCCATGTCAGCGTGCGCCCGAAAGGAGGCGCGAGGAGGAGCGAGGAGCGAGGAGGGAGGAGGGGGGAATGGGGGGAGGGGTGAGGAGCAGCGAGGGGGGGGGGGGGGGGGAAGAGGGAGGGGCGAGGAGGAGCGAGGAGCGATGGGCGAGGAGGGGGAAAAAAAGGCGGGAGCGAGGAGCAGCGAGGTGGGTGGGGGGGAGGAGGCAGCCGCGAGGAGCGGGGAGGCGCACGCGGGAGCAGCAGGAGGAGCGGGGAGGCGCACGCAGAGGGTGCGCCGCCCGCGCCGCGCGCGGGGAGGTGCGGGATGCGCGGAAGTCCGGCAGGCCCCTCGGGGCAGCTGGCCGCAGTCTGGCGCTCGGGGGGGGGGGGGGGCGGCGCTGCACGAGAGCGCTGACGAGCCTGGAGGGTGCTGTTGTCGAGGGTCGTCTCGGACGCGGCCGGGACCAGGATATAGGTCCCTTCCAGAGCGTTCCAGAACGTTCTCAGAGCTTTCCGCAACGCTCTCAGAATGCCGCGGAGCCCGAGGCATCCTCCAGAGCCGCTGCATCGCAGAGATTCTAGATGTATCCTCATCCGAGTTTGTCCTCGTCCGGTTTCGTCTTGGGGTCTGGCGATATTCCAGATCATCGGGTCCGCCCCCCCTCCAGATAACCTGACCTTGTCGTGTGCGCAGTTCCGAAGAGGATACGCAGAAGTAAAAGCGCACGGGCATACGTGGGGTTGCCCAGAGCAAAATGGGTTCGGTTATCGGCCAGCATTTCCCGCCCCTTTCCCCCGCCGGGCGATCGCCGAGCAAAGAAACACGATCTCCAAGAGTGATGAGGAGCTTGAAGGGCCAGCATCCAAAAGAGCATGGCGTGTGCGACGATAACCCTTAACCCCGGCGAATACAGTGTACCCCCCCCCCCACCCTTTCACCTTTGAGTGGTTATTATCCCTGGGTCAGACAGATCTGATTGTGAATGGGCGGCGAGCCCGAACTTGATTAAATTATCGCGGGGGGAAGTTGCGAATCGGAATTGCTATCTTCCTATAGGCGAGGAGGAGGAGGAGGAGGAGGCAAACGCTGCCGCCCAGGCTTGCAGCAAGTGCCTGCCGTGCAAGGACGGCACCAAATGGTGCCGAGCCTGCATGGGCGAATGCTTCGAAGTAGTACGCAAGAGAGGTTTCTTGGCCAGGAGCGCCAAGGACCTTTCCTGCGCAGGCCACCTTTCAGCACGAGACCCGAGGACATCAAGGACAGTTTTGTGCGAGGGTGTAGTTACACGAGCGCCCAGGACCATCATCATCATCAGCATCATCATCATCATCATCCCCATCCTCATCCTCATCCTCATCCTCATCCTCATCCTGATCATCATCGTCACCGTACCCCGACGGCGACACCTACGGACAAAACAATCCCATGGGCCCTGCAGCTCAAGAGCGATATGTTCTATCTGGGGCGGTTCGACGACGGGCCCGTTTACTGGACGACGTAGGTTGCGACTTCACGAGGGTCTCCCAGGTTCCCGAGCTGAGCGCCCAGTTTCTGAAGTTCAACATGAAACGTCTGCGGAAGCTCTGGATAGAAGCCCCGACGGCGACCCCCATCAGGCAATACGAGGACCAGGAGTGCTTCGAGGGTGGGTATCGGTGCTCCTTTCTCAACGGTGATGGCCTCGAGTGTGGCAAGAGGTTTCGGACGGCGCGCGCACTCCGGGCACATCAGACACATAGTGGAGGGGGAGAGCCGGGCAGCTGAACATGTTCACCAAATACACGGTAACAATTCAATGCCCATCATTTGTTTCAAAATTTGCGTGTCGTCGAATTGCGATAAATCATATCACGGCTGCGTATCGCCATGGACGTTGTATAGCCCATATAAGTCTACTCTGAACTATCCCGTGGTCTTTCCGCAACAGTTTCTTTGCCCAGAAGCTGAGTGTGCACTCGAGTTTGGGTCTCTGCCAGATCTACAGCGGCACATATCGTCGACACACCTACCTCAACCTACTCCGAATGTCGTGGCTGCAGGCCCTTCCCGCGGCAGTCGAGGACACCGCGCCCGGCCAGAAGTCCCGCCGCAGGGGGGGGGGCGGCAGGTGCCCGCGAGGCTCTTCGGCACCCGGGGCAAACGGCAGCGGCGGCCACCAGAAGAAGGGCAGGAGGACGGATCCGAAGATAGTGGCAGATGCAGCGGTTCTTCCCAGTCATGTTGCGCCTCATTCTCAACCTGGCAATGAGACAGAGGCAGATCGAGTCCATCGAGTTGAAGACGTTCCTGATGTCCTCGGGGATGCAGATGGCGGTGAAGGCGGGGGTTCGCGTCAGATCGTGGGTCTGGGCAGCGGAGGAGGCGATGACGTTCTCGTCCAAGGCCGACGCCGAGAAGAAGATCAAGGAGATGGGCACGATATCGGTCGCGCGCTACGCGGGGGTGTTCGGGGGCCTGATCGCCGAGGGCAACGCGGTGGGCAGGTTCAATCAACAGCACTTGGACGAGTTGAGCAACGGCCTCAGCCTGGTGGACATGGGGGAAGCCGCCCCGCTCGCCAAGATCACGGACGCGCGCGAGGGGGGCAAAGTCAAGCTGGTGCTGGGCTTCGCGACGCGCCTCATTTTCTCTACGCTGCTTGCTGCGCTGGCGCAGGCGGGCGCGGACTACCAGCAGGGTGCCGCCCCCGTGGGGCATCTAGAGCGGCTGCCGCACACAGGGCTGTACGAGCTCGAGAATATGATGCACGAGTGAATGAGGTCTCTGACAAACACCGCCCCCGTGTGGAATCGGAAATGAGGGGTCCAGAAGAAACGCCTGAGGAGAAGAAGCGACGTGTTGTGCAGCTCGTGAGAAGCTTGGGCCAAGCCGCCAGCGAGCCTGTTTCTTCCCCCCTCGATCCCCTCCCCAGCCTCCGTCCTCCTTTCAGTGTTTTTTTTGACTCGACCTCGACCTCTGTCCCTTTGAATGCTCGAGAGCTGCCGCTCACGTCTGGAACCAAGGGCCAGGTGATGGGTGGAGTGCCCAGCGTCCGCCGCCCCTCGAGTGTGGACCTGAGGAGCGGTGAGCGCACGAAACTATCTGCTGCTTCGACGGGCCTGGCTAAAAATCCGGGTCACGAGGAACCCACTATTCCAGTAACGATAAGAAGTGGCAACATCGTCACGCAGGGTTTTCTGCGCGGCGGAGCAGCCCTGACATGTCAGCTGCCTTTCGCTTGCCTCAGGGGGCACCGCGGCAGCAGCAGGGCTCATCCTTGCTGTGAGCTGCGAGGTGCACGGCCACGCATCGCAAATTGACGCCCGGGTGCAGCCCGATCCGAGGGACTCCCGCTGGATGAGACAGCTTCTCGCCCCCATGGGTTCTGATCTGATCATCGGCGTCATCATCACCACCATCTCCCTCCAGGAAAATCGTTGATTATCCCCCTCTGACCCCGAGCTTTATTATCCCCCAGGGGTTTAATACCACAGGTAGTTGATAATCGCGAGCTGGGCCTTCTCCCGAACTCTCTATCGTCCGCGCCTCTAGGCCAGCAGGTGTCCATTTTAGTGTTTTTTCGGTGGACGCACGACAGCACAACAAAACATTCGCTGAGTTCCGCGCGGGTTTCTTCCGATCGGCGCTGGCCCCCCCGGCGGCGCATCTGGTGCCGCCCCAGGCGCATTCCGCGCGCCAGGGAGGGGGGTCCATCGCCGATCTCAAGAAATGCGCGCTGAGCCGAACGTTTATGATCATGCATGTCGTTGTTCGTTGAATCCCGAAAGCATTCAGGACTACGGTGCTTACTCCTGCATGGGCACGCGCGCGGCGTTTTTTTCTCCCGGTGTGGCTCGATTCGCCCAACTGGATGGGGGGGGGAACAATGATTTGTTCCCCCACCTGCTTCTCCACATGTTGACGCTTTCCCCTCATTTGCAGGGCAACTCTGGTGCACCAGGTTCGCGGGGAGAGTTTCGGGACTAGGGAAGAGCCCCCTGCGATTTCTAGCCGTGGCATTTGCCAGGCACGCCGCTTGGCCAAGGTTGCCGGCACCTCTTGTTCCAACATTTCTCTTCTTCCATCGCTGTCATGTTGCTTCCATGTCGTTCATTTTTATCATTTCCTCCCTTTTTCCTTCTTCTCCTTTTTGTTATAACCAGCACTTCCCTTGTCACACCACCAGACCTGTCGTAATACCGGACCGGGGGGGTCCGCCTGAAATCCCTTGAGGATACACGCTATCGGATTTACATGTTCCAGACAGTCACGCAGGGTTGGCGCACATGTGGTTTTCCAAATGGGGTGTTCGCTTTTTTTGAAATATTATTCCGATTGTGCAGCAGCTAAGCAAGTGCAGGGTGGTTTGTTTTCTGACATTGGTTGCCCTCGTTATATGTCGATCGAAGTAGGACAAGAACTGCGAACATCTTGACTCTTCGCGTATCCCCGCCAGCCCATCCAATTTCGATCGCCAGGCGAGTTGCCCTGATCAGGGATCCGTGTCCGCAGTCGGTCACGTTTTGGGGGCCTCTTGGGAGGCATCGTGGGGCCATCGTGGGGCCCTCCTTGGCGCCGCGTTGGATGTCGTTCGAGGCTCCCTTGGGGCCCTCTTGGGGCCCAGGCTCTCTTGCGGCCATCTTGGGAGCACTCGATCAAAAGAGAGGGCGGCACCATTGTGCCTCTCCTCGTCGGAGACAGGAGAAATACCTCTCTGGGGACGCTTGGGGGCGCTCGACTGGAGCTCTTGGCCGCTCTTGGGGCCGTCCTGGGACCCTCGTTGGGTCCTCTCGGGCTGTCTTGGATCCATCTTGCAGCCCCAGACGGCCATTGAACGCGAAACGGCGAGTGGGCTCAGCATTGTTCAACAGCTGCACGGTTGGAGGGCGGCCCCTTTCTCACATGGGACTCTCACAAGATTCATTCTTTCTCGTTGTGTGCCAAGAGCTTTGAAACTGGTGGATGACCCTTCGGTGAAGCTTCCCATGGGGCCACGAAGCGCGTGAGGGGCGCGCCGGAGTAGGCTGGGGGACTCCATGCGTCTGCGCCCTCTGAGCCCGTGGGGGAAGCTGCCCGTGGGGCCCCGAAGCGCGCGAGGCCTCTCGACGGAGTGGGCGGGGGACCCCATGCGGGTGCGCCAACTTGAGACTTGAGACCGTAGGCGGAGCGCCCTGAAGCGCTGGGAAGCTTGAAAGTGTCAGGAGGGAAAAAAACACACACACAGACACAATTAATCCTCGATTCCCAGGAAAATATGGGAAAATATGGGAATTGGGGGGGAAGAGAAAAACCCAGAAAATATGGGGACTATTTTTATTTGTGTGTATTTATTTGTGTGTCCTAATTTCCCTTTAAAGTGGTGCGCCCAGTGGGCGGGGGGAGGCCTTGCGGCTGCGCCCACAGAGGGCAGGAGCAGGGGCGGCGGGGCCCGCCAGAGCACAACCGAACAGGGGGGGGCAGGTGGCGCCCTCGCAGCTGCCGGTGGCCGCGCCAGGACCGCGCGCGGTCCGCGGGGGGGGGCGCGGCCGGGACAGCGACGACGGCGGCGATCGACGGCGCTCTGCGGCGACGTGCGGCGGCGGGCGGCATCGGCTGCGGCGGCGGCGGCGGCAGCGGCGGCGATCGAAGGCGGCGGCGGCGGCCACGACTGCGATGGCGACGACGGCGAGGGCGAGGGCGAGGGACGAGCGATCGAGGAGCCAGGATCGAGAAACGAAGAGGATCTGGTTAGGCCACCGCGGTGTCTTGCCCCTCCTGGCTTTGGGGGGCCTCTGGGGCCCTCGCGGGTTGCTGCGCGGACCTCGAGGGCTGTGCTGGGACCCTCGTGAGGCTGCTCCAGGGCCCAGGGGCGACCGGGAGGGGGCTTCTTGGGGCACGCGTTGGGTTCGTTCTGGTTTCCTTCTTTGGCTACTTCTGGGCCCCCTTGAACCACCAGGCAAGACGCCCGGGAAGCGCAGTGAAGTTGAAACGTCAAGGCAGTCCTGCGTGTCCTTCGGTATTGCGCTTTCCTTGAGGGCCTCGTGTCCGTCCTTGTCCCTGGTGTCTTGGAAGCCTCTCTGGTCCCCTTTGGCGCCTCTCTGGGCATTCTTGGGGGCTGTTGGGTGCCTCTTGCGGCAATTTTGGCCCGTGTTGGTGGCCTCGATGACCTTGCCTTCGGGAGAGCTTTGGATAGCCCCAGCGTGAAATCAGGCCGCCCTTGGAACCTCGAGCACGTGGCTTTCTACCACGCCTCATCTTGCCATGGGCACGTTGTTGGATTCAAAAGGCCCTTACAAACACGATGGTGGTCATGGACGCTTCGCGTATCCCCGCCACGCATCCAGAAACGATCCTCGGGAGAATAGTCTTGGGATCCTGCTTGAGGCATCCTGGCGGGCGCGAGGTTCGAGGGACTGGTCGGGAACCCGCGAAACTGACGGCTGCGGGGGGGTGGGGGGGGGGGGGGGCGAGCGGTCTGATGGCATCCTTGGGTGCGTGCCCGAATCCTAGTTTGGGGTAATTCGTGGGTCTGGCGCAGACGGGTAAGACGGGTCGGCGGCGAGAGAGGTGCCATCGTTGCTATGGCATGTGCGCCACTGCGTGCGACAGTACCCACTTCTGGCGCAAGCGAAGTCGCATATGTTGGGTGGCATTTGATCGAGTGCTGCGGCACTCTCCTGCTGTGTATCAGTGTCTTCGTCTGTCCCTTCAGCATCGGCGGCGCGCCCAGGGGGGAAGCAGAGGGGGCGGGTCTTCTGAGAAGGCCCGGAAGGCCTCCAGCCTTCCGGGAGGCTTCCTGAGCCGACCCTGTCCCCATGGCTGTTGTGCGGTCCCGGGGCCCGTCGAGGGCCCCACGACAGGGCTCGTTTCGATTCCTCCGATTCGATTCGATTCGATTTCGATGGCTTCTGATTCCGATTCGATTCGACTTGAGATTCCGATTTGGGCTCCGATTTCTTATTGGAGGCCTACTAGCCTGCCGATGTCTGCCGATTCGACTTTTCCCGACTCGGCTGCCGATTTCCGCCGATCCGATTCATTTCGATCGCCGATCCGACTTATCGATTCGATTCTGGGCTCTCCTGCCACGAGGCTGAAGGCACTCGGAAAACGTTCCGTCGTGCTCTTGTCCGCGACGCCGCGACGCGAGCACGTTCGGCAGTGGAAGCGGCGGAGGAGAGACGGTCAGGCTTCGGGCTGCGCCCAGACAGCACGGCCTCAGCAGGCTCCCCGAGCAGCCCGGGGCGGCCTGAACACCCTGTCGCCGCCTCCCGCGGCACCCTTGGGGTGCGATCGCGCCCGAGGGTCGGGGTGTCCTGTTGAGGGGGGCCTGCCGGGACTGCTCGGGGGGCCTGCTGAGGTTCGCCGGGTCTGCTTGGGGGGGAGGGGGGGGCTGCCTGCGTGCAGCCCGAAGCCTTGCGAAGCACAGATTCGGGGGGGGGGGGGCGGGAAATGGGCACAAGCACACACACACACACACACATACAGCCGTGGAATTCATGAAAGAGCCTGAACAACACGAATATTTCCACGTGTGTCGATTTACTTGCGTCCCCTTCTGGGCCCCATGGGCCCCTTCACCGATCGACGCGCAGTTTGCTGCCGCGCTTGCAGTGGCATCCTTCCTCTCCCCTGTTGCTCGAGATACGGCGCGGAGTGCGCCCTGGCGGGCGCGCGTTCCTCCTGATCCCCGGCGGCAGACCGCGCCCCGCGCAGGCGGACACTCCACGGGCTCCACGTCCGAGCCGATCGGTCCGACGAGATGTCGATCGGCGGCGAAGTTCGATCCGTCGAAGAAGAAACAGCGGCAGAAACATAAACTTCTGGCGCTCCGCGCGGATTGCTTGGACTCGGCGCATGGGCCCCCCTCGCGGCGCCTCCGTCGCCGCCCCTGGCGCGCTCCGCGCGTTGGGGAGGGGGTCCCGGCGCGGATCCACGAAATCCGCGCGGAGGGCCTGAAGTTTATGTTTATGCCGTTCTCTCTTCTTCCAGATCCGATCGCTGGCGAAATCCGAACCCTGCCCTCGCCGATCAGCGGTTCAGGCAACTGGATGGGCAGTGGTGGGCAGGAACGCGTTGCGAAATGCGAGCCCTACCCGCGCCTCCCATCGATTCAGGAGAGTCGATGGTTGGTGAGGTAGTGCTCAGATGTCGCCACCTACTCGAGTTCGAAGACCAAACGAAAATCATGAACATCAAACTCTCGGAGGTCCGCGCGGATTTCGTGGATTCGCGCTGGGCCCTCCTGGCGGCGCCTGAGGCAGCGCCTCTGGCGCTCCGCTCGCCAGGAAGGGGGATCCAGAGCCGATCCAAGCCATCCGCGCGGAACGTCGAAAGTATAGGTTTGTGTAATTGTTCGTCCCTCGAGACATCATGGGCGCCCTGCTCGATCTGGTTCGATTCCGATGTACTGAAGGTCCGATGCGGACCGATGCCTGCATGGCGCCAATGCGCATCGATTCCCTCCCTGAGGTCCGACGACGCGAAAAGCACGGAGAACCGTGAAACATCACGACCAGGGCTCCAGACCGTATCTTCCTGCGGCACCTCTCGAGCCGGATCCAGGTCCCAGGGCCCAAAGTCGAAGCACAGATGCACGGCGCGAAAACAATGCTTTGTTGGGCCTCGCCTCAGGTGCTGGGCTCAAACATCGGTCCCCGTATTTCTCGCGGTGTGCGTTCACACCAGAATTCCAAGTCGGATCCAGCGATACCGATGAGCCCCTTATGGGCGCAAGAAAGGCAACGACGTCCCAAAAGACAGTCCGCGAGTTTCGGACCTCGCAGATTCGTTGTCGTCGTTGACCCTGGACGTCCAGATCTGAGGTCTGGCAGGTCAGCATCGTCAGACACGTCCCGATCCCCAGCGGGCCAGAGTGCCAAAGTTCCCCAGCGCCACCAGTCTCCCCCCCTGAGGTAAAGACGGATACCCCGAGACCCGACGGCGACGGCATCTGTCCCCCCACAGGCGGGCAAGCTCATCGGACAGCGGGGCCGAGGCATTCCTCGTGGGGATATACACTCCAGGCGATGCTTAAGAAAACCCAAGTTTTCGGCCAGAGTCTCGATTTTTCTTAACATGTCAATATAAAACTTAAGATGTCAATGGAAATGTTGGGTTTTTATTCAAGTTCTGAGACTATGAATTTCTTAACCCATGATTTCTTAAGCATTTCGCAGGGTGTAGGGACAGGCCCCCAGACAGCCCCGAGGGGGTGTGATCTGCTCAGTCCGCGGCCCCAGAGTTCCCGACCCCTCCCCCGGCGGCACCCTTCTTTGCGCCCCAGATCGGTTGTCGGGGGCGGCAAAGAGGGGGGGGATGACTACCCTGACCTTCCAGAGAGCTATTTTTTAGCACTGGAAACCTAAAAACCTAAACAACGAGACGAAACAGCCTAAAACCAAGACGTAAAATAGCTCTGGGATAGGTTTTTACGTCGGGTGCTATTTTTTAGCCCTCCTGGAAGGTCAGGGTAGGGGGGGGGTGGATATCATGGCGTGGGCCATGAGATTCCCCCGGATTTCATGGCGCCTCTGCTCATTGCATTACGTCCCTGGTCCCCCCGCTGGGCCGCGCACGTGCCGCCGGTCATGGTTTGCACCCCCCCCTCTTGGATATCCCCCTCTTGGCCGCTACCGACCTTCCCCGGCGGCACCTTTCTCTGCGCCCCAGATCCGTTGGTGGTGGCCCCGGGGCCCTGCCCTAGATCGAAGAAGAGAAACCCACGTAAACATAAACTTTCGACGCTCCGCGCGGATTTCTTGGATCTGCGTTGGTCAGGAGGAAAAAAACACACAGACACAATTAATCGGCGATTCCCAGAACATATGGGAAAATATGGGAAGTGGGGGGGGAAACAGAAACCCCGAAGATATGGGGAAAATATGGGGGATATTTTTATTTGTGTGTATTTATTTGTGTGTTCCAGTTCCCCTTCAGTTGAGAAACACCCACGTAAACATAAACTTTCGACGCTCCGCGCGGATTTCCTGGATCTGCGTTGGGGCCCCCTGGCGGCGCCTCTGGCGCCGCCCCGAGCGCGCTCCGCAGGCCAGGGAGGGGGGGCCCAGCGCAGGTCCAAGAAAGCCGCGCGGACCGTCGAATGTTGATGTTTATGCTTTTCCTCTTTCGAGGCAGGGAGCAATCCGCAGGGCGCGAAGTTATTCGCGCTTCGCGCTTCGCGGTCCTCGTTCCTTCTCCCCCTCCTCCTCGTCCTCCTATTCTCCCTTTGGGAGGGCGGCGCGAGAGCGCGAAGTTATTCGCGCTTCGCGCTTCGCGAAGCGCGAAGCGCGAAGTTGGGAGCCCTAGAATCCGAAGGAGGAACCATTCCAGAAACAGAAACCTTCGGAGCTCTGCGCAACGATTTCCTGGATGGGCGCTCGGCGCGCGGAGCGCGCCAGGGGCGGCGCCAGAGGCGCCGCTGGAGGCGCCGCCAGGGGCTCCCAGCGCTGCTCCAAGTTTATGTATATGCCGTGTGATCTTCTTCTGAACGCGCCAGGCTTTTCGTTGAACGATCCTCGGAGATCCATGGTGACAACCACTACAACGACAGCGATCACAACGATCCACCACGAGAAACAACGATCACAACGTTCACAGCGAGCACGATAACGACGATGGCATCGTTGGAATCGTCGCCATCGTGGTCCTGGCGGTGCCGGGCGGAGCCCTCCACCTCGCCGCCTCTCCGTGGGCCTCGCCGGCCGCCCGCCGCCCAAGCCCCGCGCGCAGGCGCCTCGCCGCAGGACACGCTGCTGCCGGCGGCGGAGCCGGCGTCGCGGCCGTCCTCCTGCGACAGCGACGCGGGGCTGGAGGCGGGCTCCAGGGGAGGGGAGGCAAGGATTCCTCCTCCTCCTCCTCCTCCTCCTCCTCCTCCTCCTCCTCCTCCTCCAGGGGTGGACCTACCCGGTGTTTTGGCGACTTCGTGGGCCGTTTTCGTTTCGACTTCGTCTTGCGGTAGAGGTGGATTGAAGACAAAACGAGGGAAAACGAAAACAAAACGAAACGAAAAACACCGTTTAGGTTCAGCCCTGTCCTCCTCTTCTTCCTCCTCCTCTTCCTCCTCTTCCGCTCCCATGCATTGGGGGGGCTGGGGCAGGGCAGGAGGAACAGGCAGAGGAGGCCGGGGAGGAGGCAGGGATGAGGAGAGGAGGGGAGGGGGGAGGGAGAAGAGGGCGGGGATAAGGGGGGAAGGCAAGGACGGACAGGGAAGCAGGGGGGCATCATGGAGGAGAGCGGGACGGAGGAGCAGAACGAGAGGACGGCCTGTCTTGCTGCGACGGCGACGCGGGGCTGGAGGCGGGGACGATGTGATTCCTTCCGTCCCAGCGTTGCTCCTGCATTTCGGTCTCGTGCCTGGCCCCGGAGCCGCCAGAGCTGGACCCCCGGAGGAAGGGGTCGGGAGCTCCGGGGGCCACGGATGGGCACAGGTCAGGTCGACGGATGCCAGGGGGCCTGGGGGGGATGTCGGACGGGGCTAGGACGAGGATGCATTCGGGGAGCGGAACATGACAGAAGCTTAAGAACTCCGAGGTCCGCGCGGATTTCTTGGATCGGCGCTGGGACCCAGAGTCATTCTGTTCGTGTCATCGTTCGTCCCCCTGGTAACTCCGTTCCAGAGCGTTCCAGAACACCCGCATAGCGTTCTGAAACGCTCCGGCAAGGCCGCGGTGCCCGATGCATCCTCCAGAGCCGCCAGATCTCAGAGATTCGCGATGTGATCCTTACCCGATGTTCTCCTCGTCCTGGCTCCGTCTTAGGATAGGCGCAGGGGGGCCCCCGCCGTGGCCACGGGGCAGCCCCCCGGAGCGGGCCATAGTTCGGGTGCGGCCAGGGGGGGTGAGGACTGGGGGGGGCTGGACCTCATGGCTGGGGCCATGATATCGGACGTGGACAGACCTCCTACCCTGACACGTCGATTAAGGAGTTGGCCGTTTTCGGTTCGCGAGAGGGCGTCGCGGCCGTCATTTTTGCGGGTCCAGGTACGTTGATTTCGGCCCCAGGTCGTTTTCACTAAGGGGAGGTTTACTAAAGGGAGGTGTGTCCACCGCCGATGACGTCTCCTCGGATGTCATGGCCCTCTTTCTCTTTCAACGCGTTCCCTGGCCCCCTCCCCGCTGGTCCGCGCACACGCCCCGGGCCAGGATTTTCGGACCCCCTCTGGCACGCCCCCCCTCATTGGACGCCCCTCAGTGACGCCCCGAACGCTCGACCCAGCAGGCCTCAGGCGCGAAAGCCCAGAGGCACCAGTAACTTGGCATCGCTCGGACGTGTGCATTTTTCCTTCGGCGAGGGCCATCGAGGAGCATCCTTAATCATTTGGTGAAAAAAACCATGCACGAAACCGAAAAAAGCACAGGGAACGGACGTCCGAGCGATGGCCAGGTAAGAGTGGCCGATCCGACTAGCGGGGGGTGGTGGGCCTAGGGGCGCACCCAGGCATCGGACCATCGCAAGCAGGGATCAAGGGGACGTGGACTGGCGACGGGCCCCGCTTCCACGGGAAGTCTGAAGTCGCTGTCCCTCTACAGGAGGAATATTTCCAAATAGTGTTTAAACAATCAGGGGGCATGTTTAAACGTACTTTATGACCATGTTCGAACATGTTTTGGGTTTATTGTTTTTCATCCAAAATCCTTCTGTAGGGGGACATGCCTGACCTAAGGGAAGCCGCAGAGTTCCGCCGCCGAGCGAGGCGGCATTGGCCGCATTTTTGGGAAGGGCACCTCTCCTGGTCCATGGAGTTGGCGACCGCGCGCCAAATCCATGGATCGCTAATCTTATGACGTTCAAATTTAGCCTTGATCACCAGAAAGAATCACGAGCACCAAGAAGGTACCAACCATGGAGGGTTTTCACGGGTCGGGCCCTGGAAGGCGATACTCGTTCGACACTCTTTTGATCTCTTTTTGGGTGCTCGAAATTATTTCTGGGATGCGGTCCTGAAGTACGATGGGAACAACCCAACGCTAATCCATGTTTTCGCGCCCCCGAAGACATGCTCGCGTCCCGAACAACACCAGGACTGAGGCGCTTCTCTAATTATGCGGCCTCCAGGGGCCCTTCTCAGCGGGCCCCAGGACCGTCCACCAACAAGTCGGGGCGAAAACCCAGCCCTGGGGAGAGGGTCGTGTTTTCGGGGGACCGCGCATCAAAATCAGAGTGAGGGATCCGAGCGGTCGTTCAAGTCCGCATCGCGGATCGCGATGCGGGCTTTTGTTGTTGTTGTTGCTGTTGCCGTTGCTGTTGCTGTTGCTGTTGCTGTTGCTGTTGCTGTTGTTGTTGTTGGTGTTGGTGTTGGTGTTGTTGTTGTTGTTGTTGTTGTTGTTGCTGCTGCTGCTGCTGCTGCTGTTGTTGTTGTTGGTGTTGTTGTTGTTGTTGAACATTATTTATTCTAAAGAATAATTGTTGTTGGGACCCCTGATGCGCGGCCCCCTCGCCGCGCCTAGGCCGCAGCCACATTTTCATCATTTTCGTGAGGAAGTCTCAGGCAAAACGTGGGTGTCCGGATCCGGTTGTTTTGTTGTCCCCCGTTTTCCCTTGCAAAAAATAAGCTAAAGTGGACATTTCTTGTTCTAACATAACCAAACTTCAAGAATCCCTTGCAAAAAATAAGGTAAAGTGGACATTCGCGCGCGCAAGACGAAATCCTTCCAAAACCTTAGTGTTCGTAGCGATTTTAACATAAAAACATCAAAAAACCAATGGTTTTTCAAAAAAAAAAAAGTGTCAACATTTCATCCCGCGCGCTCTTGCGGATTTGTAGGAAACCCAACACTTTTTAAACATTTCTGTCAAATGGGCTTTTCCGAGCAACTTGTTCACGTGCTTCGAACTTCTCCAACAACCGTTGCGCACCTGCCAGGGTCATCATCCCTGTCAAATAATACCATGCGGGACACATTCGTTTTTTCTTTGCGCGCGCACGCCGAAATCTTCAAAAACCATTGGGTTTCGTAGGAATTTTAGCACCGCGCAACATAAAATCATACGAATCGCACCGTGGGACCTCGAAAATCGTCGTCGCCATGTTACCACAACAAGTCCGTGTGTCACCACGTCATCGAACAAAATCACTGATCACTGTCACATCCGTAGCCATCTCGGATCAAGGTATCGCCTGTGTTCTTGGATGGGTCATGGCTTTGTCGGCGAAAGCCCTTGACGAGCAGTATGGCCCAGAGCTGTGGGACGAACAGACTGGGGAGTATACCCCATCCAACGAGGAGGTGGCCGAGGGTATGAGGCGCTGGTCTATGTCACCCGGCGGGGACGGGTTGGTATTCCACTGGCTCAAGGCTCAGGAGAGACAAAAGTACCACTACCATCAGCTAGGGGGGTGGCCGCTCCATCTTCGAGCTGGTGGCTCCTTCCGGGTATGCCTCCAGAGAGTGCCCGGAACGAGGTGCCACCAGCTCGAGGGGAAGGCGCGGCCACCTCCTTAGCTGGTGGTAGTGGTACTTTTGTCTCTCCTGAAAGGTGCTGCGCGAGACCACGTGGTTCGCGACTGCAGTGTATTTTCCGTGTATGTGGCAGGGACTCACGGGTGTATGCCTCTGCCTCTCGACGCCGGAGAGTACGCGCCAGTCCAAGGAGAACGGCATGGTCGAGAACCAGCGCCGTATGGGAGGCATCGAGACCCCAGAGTGGATGGCGTTCGCTGTATACTTCTACCCAGGTTTGGTATTCGGCAACTTTTCTGGTTTCGCAGATCCAGCCGCGCAGTATCTGGGCACACTTTCGGAAGTATTCCATCGGCTGTGCACCCAAGCTGGTATAGCGAACTGGAGATCGCACGTATTCGTCCGGCACGGCGGCTGGGTGTATGCTGGCTTGCGCAGGCTGTTGCAGCTCCTGCGTATTCACGTGCATTCCGAGGTGGTATCAGGTCTGTCATACAGGCGCATGGCGAGCCTGGATGTATTTGTGGCAACACACACGGGATCCATGGGTATGGAGCCGCCATCTATGGCTCTGTGGAATGCCTCCCAGGACGTCAAGGATGGTATCGCCGTTTTCCCGAAGCAGGACCATTGGTGGCGCATGCCAGTATGGCGTTCTTTCGGGCAGTCCGAGTATGGGAATGTCATGGATTACCGGGTGGGTCTGGGTATGCCGGCGCATGTCCAGGGTATCCTGGCGGCGTTGGCGCCCCGCGGACGCACGGGCGATGTATCCGCGAGGAGGCGTATCGGCACCATGCTGGGACACTTGGCCCCAGATGTATTGGTGCCAGGAGCGCAGCTTGCAGTATCGCGCCCGATGCGTGCCATTAGAGACAGGCGTATGCCAGAAGATGATGAGCACAAAGACTCGTCTCTTTAGTATGTCTCCAGAGCACGTATGTGTCCAGAGCCGCCGCGCCTTGTCCTGCTCCTCCTCCTCCTCCTCCTCCTCCGGCGGGGGGCGTGAGGATCCGGCATCGCTGACATGGGACAACCATCGGGGCCACCATCGGAACAACCGTCGGGACAACCATGGGGACAACCATCGGGACAACGATCGGGACAACCACAACCATCAGGACGACCATCGGGACAACCGTCGGGACAACCGTCGGGGCAACGATCGGGACAACCATCGGGGCAACCATCGGGAGAACCATCGGAACAACAATCGGGACAATCATCGGGACAATCATCGCGACAATCATCGGGGCAACCACAACCGTCAGGACCTCCCACCAGAGAGAGGTAGCCACGTGTATTTCGTAGACGAATGAGCCAGTATTGCACATTGAGGCCGGAACGACAACCACAGAACGAGAATGAGCATAAAACAACAACGGAAACAAGTCCTGTGGTATGCTGGCGCC